AGGGTGGGGAGAAGCTAGGCTCGGCTGGTGAATACAGACTGGTGGGGTGGTGGAGCATCCCATGGGAGGGAGGGAGGTTTTGCAGCTGGCTGGGAGCGGGGTGGGGTTTACAGTTGGCCAGGCACCTAGCAGGGATGCTGCAAACCCCCTTGCTCCCAGCTGGCTGCAGACATCCACCCTGCTCCTGTGGGATGCTCTGCCACCTGAGTTTAGCAGCTGAGGCGGCGGTGAGGAGTGCAGGGCCAGTGGGGGCCTGCGCCCAGGGTGGAGCAGCAGGAATGCAGAACCCAGGGCCAGGGCCTGCAGGGGCCCATGCCCAGAGTGGGGCAGCAGAAGTGCCGGTGATCAGGCTGGCACATGGGGCTGGTGGGTAGAGGTGGTGGTGGTAGTAAGCGGTGAGTGGGGGACGGGTATTGGCACAGGGCCTGTGTTGGTGCCCGGGGCCAGGGCTCAGGGCTGGCAGGGGCCCAGGGTGAAGCAGCAGGAATGCAGCCTCGGGCTGGCACGTGGGACTGGAATGGCCAGCGGGCTAATGGGGAGAGGCGGTGGCAGCAAGAAGCCCTGGTAACCAGTTACCTATATATACATTCATTACTATGGGCAAGTGGGTTTCGCTTAGCGCTCAGTTTTTCTGGAACCAATTAAGAACGCTGAGTGGAGGTTGCCTGCATGCAAGTCTGGAAGGAACAGATTATTCTGATATGAGGAGTACAGGCTATCTTTACTTCTCTGCCAATTCCAACAATTTGTGTTTGAACCTTTGTTTGACTGCATAGAAGCCATTAAAATGGTCATAAATACCACATTTTTGTCTAGCCTGTTTGTGGCTGTACATGTTAGTCCAGTAGGGTGGAGCTGAATGACTGTTTTCTTTTCAGAGATGGCTCCTCTGAACGGCAACATGAAGAGAACAAATGGGTGCAGCATGTTTCTCTTGTCTTGTAGATAAATGGAAGACTTTGATTTTAGAGCTGCCACATTATCCCCACGTACAGAATCAGAACGTAAAATACTCCTTAGTAGATCACCCCAAGCTTTTTTAATTGGTGAGAAGTGAAGGGTAAGCATGTTCTTAGGTTGGTTTCCCAAAATGGAGTGTCATCCTCCAATTAAGAACTGTTTGTAAACCTCTTTGCGACAGTGGGCCCACATACTCTTGCTTACCTTCAGTTTCTCCAACAATGCATTCCTACATTAAGAATCTTGTGCATCTTAAAGCATTCTTTGTTAATTAAGAAAATATTAAGGCACATTGTTATTTAGCTAATAATTTAACATGAATTGTTCTGAAGGAATTACTATAAAATCAAAAGAAAGTAGCATCAATCCCTGAACAGAATTGGGAAACCGCTTCATGTGCTCCCTTAATATGTGAGTAAGAATTTGTTTAAGTTTAGTCTTTTTCTTTACAGATGATGACTTTGATCAGTTTGATAAGCCTGGTGCAGAAAGGTCTTGGAGGAGAAGAACTGGAGACGATGACTGGGACAGGTAATTAAAAAATTTTGGCATTCAGATACTATATTGAATTGTATTGGCTTGGCTTCTTGGGCTGGCAGTTTTTCTAATTCTTAAGATTGCAGTTTCGGATACTGATTTAAGTTGTTGGCTGCTACATGCATATCAGCAGATGCTAAATTGTAACCGGTATATACCTGCTATGTGTTGCCCCTAGAATTCTTTTTGCCAGAGACCCCCAAGAATTGACACGGCCCTTCATTTGATTTGGTATCAAGTGAACTTCAGTAGTAATCTCTAGGCTTTATTACGGGTTTCCTCCTTGTCTGAGAAACCACTTGCCAGGTCGTATTATGTTACAGCAGTGACCTTTGGTGGTACTGGCCTCATATCCTCTGCTGGGTGTGTGGGATATTAGTTTCTGGTTCCTCGTTGTTTGAACAAGAATTCCAAGGTTGCTCCCGTCTCCCCAGGGTGGCAACGCAAAACACACGTGTTCCTTTTTGTCTTATCACTTCTGTAATTTTTCTCATCCCAAATTGTCCAATCCCCTGGCTCTGTGCCAATCATTCCTTGTATGGTGCGCCAGTCCCCTGGCACTGTGCCAGCCACATTCCTTGCAGGGAAACTTGTGTCTTGATTGCTTAGTGCCTGATTGCAGCACACGCATCTCCCAGTGCCGCAGAAGGTGCTCTGTTCAATTTTATTGCTTCGTTTTGGGAAGGCATGGACTTATGGCTAAAAGCCTTAGCATAACACGGTTTGCCTACTACACTGAAGAACATATAGTGTAGTGGCATGAACAGATGTTATGCGATATGGAAGCAAGCATAACATTTTGCAGTCAGCTTTCTGAGTGCAGTTTAGCTTTCTTTATGTAATGACTTATTCTCAATAGTGGCTGTAAACAGTTAACTTTCTTTTTTTAGCACTTGCCAGTTTTGTGTAGATGTGCATCTGTATTTAAATTTAGCCTTTAAATTTGTGTGGTTTTTTTAATGTTTTGATCATGTTTGTTTTGGGGAAAGAATGTTTTTTTATGTATAATTCAGTTTTCTGTTTACAAATGGCAGTATTATTTTCAAGAGTTAGAAGAGTAGACTGTACACAAATCAAGAGGCAGAGGCATGCTGCTTGCTGTAAATTCTACACCCCAACTACAGTTGTCAAGCTGCTTGGCAAAAAAAGCTTATGTTTTTTCTATGCTACTAGCATGGAGATTTGTTCAGACTTCAACTGTATTCTAACGGGGTTTTACTACACTACAAGTTCCAAATTGATTTAATGCTTTTTGTTGATCGTTCACTCTAATTATAGTTATTTAAAAAATTGTATCTACTGTAAGCTTTTTTTCCTACTGTGTTAACTTAAGAAGAATATCACCTACTAGTTGTAGTACTTGTGTTTCAAGGGAATTGATTGTATCCCTTTTGCCATGGCTCAGGAGAAGGTGGAAGTTGTCAGTGCCCTGAGCAGGAAACTCAGGTTCTTAATTTTGCAGTCTTTGCTTCTAGTAAATAAAGAAAAGAGCTGATTTTGATTTTAATTTCACTCCAGTTCCTCCTTCTGGGAATTAATAGGTGGCATTCCAAAGGATGACTAGCTTTCTTTTTATTCTGACCTTACAGCTGCCACTATCCTAGCAGCTTTAGGATTTAAGGGGGAGGAGGGGAAGAAGAGCACTTCCTCATGAACTTCTTATAGCCCAATTCTTCTTAGTGAAGCTTCTTTTAAAAAGTCAGGAGTCCAAAGACAAAAAGTGCTCAGCTTTTTAGAAGGGTTAATATATATGGTAAAGAACCTCTTCATTGTGCTTCCTTTTTTTTTTTTGTTTTATTTATCATGTGAAAGAGTAGCTTCTCAGCACTAAGAGGAAAATACAGCTATGGTAGCTTGTTTCATTCATGCAATTTATAAAATTTTTGCTATAATTTTATTGCTGGATGCTCATAACTTAAATCAAGGCAGTGGAAGAACTGGAATTACATAGTAGGGATGTAACGATTGTTTAAAAATTATCTGTTTAACCTCCTAGTTATATTGGTTAAACAGTTAATCCATAACACAGCAGCTCTGACAGCCGCTGCTGGGAGTTGCTCCCAGGGCCCTCTGACTGGAGGAAGGAGGCTATGGCAAGCTCAGCCAGATAACACAGCCCACCTGAAGCTGCAGGCTGAGAGGAAGAGAGTACCTGTGAAAGAGCGGCTAATTGCTTAATTGAGTCATTAGGTTGCCTGCTTATTTCCTCTTTAACCTCATAGGCTTGTGGGTACTAGCTCCCTTTGTCCTTCCCCATCCCCTTCTGCCTGCCTTGCTATTTCTGGGGTACTGCATTGCTTCCCTTCCAGATTGTGCTCTGCCCCATGCTAAACAGTAACCCGTAAGATAACTGGTTATCACTGGGCTTATTGGTCAAATGATTAACCATTTAACTTTTCACATCCCTAATATTTAGTACCAGGTATTCCATAGCAAAATGATTTATTACTTTTTATTAATAGGGTGTAGCAATATACACTACATAGCAGAAGATCCATACTTCAGACCTTGCTATTTCATAATATGGGAGAGGGGGGTTGTCACAGTAACATGTAATGGGGTGTTTTTTTTAAGAAAATGGTAAAAACAGCTTCTAAGAAATTAAACTTGCATCATTGACTCAACCCCCATCCTACTGCTTTTTTAATCCTTATTTGGCCAAATGTAAAGATATCATGCCTTTGAATTCTTTGTTTGCTTTACCTTTTTGACATTGGCTTGTGATAACCAGGAGCTGGAGAGCCCCAGGAAGACATCCAGGGAGCATTCCAGAAGATTAATGGGATATGGTTCTTGGAATTTGTTTTCCTTTAGATTTTTTTTTACCATTGCCATTCTGAAACACTTTGTTCTTCACTGCTGTTCCTGCTTAATGAGGCTTGCTTAGTTCATAAAGTTTGAGGGCAAAAGTCACCATTACACCATCTAATTCAACCTGTATATCACAGGCCATTGAATTTCGTCTAGGTACCTTGTATGGAGCCCAGGAGCTTGTGTTTAAGAAAAACATGTCTGTCTGAAAGACATCTAGATTTGATTTGAAGACCTCAAAGGGTAGTAAATCCATCCCTACCTATGACAGTTTGTTTCTGTAGTTAACTGTCCCGTGTGTGGAACTTCTGTGCTTTTTTGTGGTTTGATTTTATTTTTTTCTTTATTTTTCCCCTGACTGATTTGAGTTCCCAGTCATTAGTTCTTGATATGAAGTTCTCTATAAGATTAAAAACTCTGCCAGACCTTGGAAGTGTTTTCTTCAACCTTCAAGTAAGTTCTGTGGTGCTCTCTATCACCTTCTACAATTTCTCCATTGGGCTAGTTTTCAGTGGCTTTGCAGGCCATAGATTGCTGACTGTCTGTCTCATTTGCTACTCTGCTAATCTTTGTCATCCCCAACTTTTATGACCAGTGATTTTTGTTTGTTCAGATCATTGATGAAAATATTGAATAGCTTTGGCACTAGTAATGAGTGGAATAGACCCCACTGTAAAACACCTTTATATGGTGATGATTCCATTGATGACTGCTTTTATAGATCTAGTTAACTCTTTAACATGAATTGTGGTGATATTGTCTATTGTTAATTTTTCATCACAAGGCCATGCAGTAGTAAGTTAAGTACCTACAAAGGCCTGACAATATTATGTGTATGCAGTTGCTTTTATCAACCAAACTTAAATCTCATTGAAGTAAAATTATGTTAAATTAACAAGGCCTACTTTTTCATAAAATAGAAATTAGAAGTTTTTGGTGTTAAATATATTTCTATCTTTTGAATTTGTTATCAGTCTTTCTATTACTTTGCCTGGGATTGATGTCAGGATAACTGACCAATACCAATAGTTACTTGGGTTAATTCCAATATTAATTTGTTAAACATCTTCCTTCTCTGCATCATTACTACCAGTTTTACCATTTCCATTTAGTAGTGGGCATACAACATGGATAGGATTTATTTTGTTCCTTAATAGTTAAAAGCAGAAATCTCCACTCTTTAGTGTTCTTATGCATGCTTACCAGATGAGATTTTTTTTTTCCCTTAATGCGCAGAGTTTTATTTATAAACTTTCCCTACTTCTAACTGTATATTCATTTGCTCCATTTGATTTCATAGACATTTGGGCTGGAAGGGACCCCAGAGGATCATCGAGTCCAGCCCTCTGCCCCAGGGGCAGGAAGTCAGCAGGAATCATAGGATCCCAGCAAGATAAGCATCCAAATGTGTCTTGAAGGCGTTCAAAGTGGGTGCTTGAACCGCCTCTGGCGGCAGTATATTCCGAACCTTGGGGGCTTGGACAGTGAAGAAGTTCTTTCTTATGTCCAGCCTGAATCGGTCACGGCAGAGTTTGTGACCGTTCCATCTTGTTCCCCCAGATCCTGATGAGCACCCCTGATAAACTTTATAGGTGGCCACCAGATCGCCCCTTTTCCAGGCTGGAGAGTCCCATGGCTCTCAGCCTCTCATTATGAGGGCTGTTTTCATGACCTCTGATTATACGCGTGGCTCTCCTCTGCATCCTCTCAAGCTTCTCCACATCCTTTTTGAATTGCGGAGCCCAAAACTGGACGCAGTACTCCAGCTGCGGCCTCACCAAGGCAGAGTACAAGGGGAGAATGACGTCCCGGGATCTGCTTGAGAAGCATCTATGGATGCAAGCCAGTGTTTTGCTCGCTTTACTAGCCGCAGCATCACACTGAAGGATTATGTTCATCTTGTGGTCAGTGATGACCCCCAAGTCCCTTTCATCTGTAGTGCTATCCAGCATAGCACTGCCGAGCCTATAAGCATGCTTTTCCTCCCAAGGTGGAGAACCTTGCATTTTTCGATGTTGAACACCATCAAGTTGTCGTCCACCCATTTTATGAGCCTGTCAAGATCTGCCTGGATCACCCTCCTGTCCTCAGGTGTGGATGCTTTACCCCAGAGTTTGGTGTCATCGGCAAACTTGGCCAGTCCACTTCTGACACCAATGTCCACATCATTGATGAAGATGTTA